AAAACGCTGTTGATTCTTACCTCATACAGTGACAGTGAAGTCCCACACTGTTTACTATATATGGGTTGTGAATGTATTTTATTATATAAAGTGGATGTCTAATTACAGTATATACAACAATATACAGTTTCATGAGGTAAAATGTTTATTTTCTCTTCATTTTAAGCTTTTTAGCAAGCGCTAAAAGTTTATTGGTCCTCTCCGTCTTTTTCACTCTCTTTTTAGCCGATTCTTGTTTTTTCACATGCTCCAGCCGAGAAGGCTGTCAAAAAGCGCTTGAGATCGAGTAGTTACTTTTCAGTAGAAATGTCTGTTTTCGGTATTTCACCGAGGTTGCGTGACTCTGTAAAGCATTCCATCCTCTCGATCCGTATAGAATGACATTATCACACACTGTACACAGAGCTTTACGGCGACATCAAGCTTTTTCACGAAATCTGACACAAGCACAATGGTTCCTCTTTACTGTTTCCTACTGGGGACACCGTCAGCTTTCTATCCAACCAGTCCCATCGAAACGTGTTTTTCAGATCCGCATCGATCTGATGCACTTTAGCTTCGTCACGAGTCTCGATAACATTCGGCATTCGCGAGAAAGGGGTTTAGGAAGGCAAACACGGATTGTTTGTGATTCTGCATTTGCCGATATAGTGACCAATCACAACAAGTAAGACATTGGTTTTAGCCCATATACGAAGTAACGACAAACTAACACTTCGCGATAAAAAACAGGATTCAAAATGGATGCTTGCAAACATTACTTGTAAACATTACGAGCCCCGAATCTGCTGAAGACAAGTCCACCCCCCCCAACCCCCACCAGAATTTTTTTACGGATTTGGAACAATATAAAATAGGTCCATTTTGACTGGAAAAAAAGCGGAATTCCGCCAAAAAGCAGAAAAATCTCATCCCTGCATGATACACACACAAATGCAGTGTGATAAAAAACTTTAATAAACACTGAATACAAGAGAACAAATCTGAATGTCTAATCAATTGCATTTTTCATAAATTTTTGAAATGGTTAAGAGACTTTATGGACACCCTGTATTACGAACATGCACAGACAACACAAATGTTTTTTTTTTCCCCCTCTACACCCCTCAGATCAACTTGGGACCAGTCCTTGATCTACTGCTCGATCGCTATCGACGTAATGGGCACTCCATACACTTCACTTTCTCTTCCGTGGCCATTACTGTTCCTCTTCGTTTGGATGCCATGATCTACAGGACATAAAAATGTTCGCAATTCCAGTAAAACTCACTGCAATAAAGAGTCACTTGCATGTCGCCGTTTTGGATCCAATGATATGGTCGCGCGGAAACACTACTGTAATTCCGTCGTATCGAGCGGGAGTTGCTTGAGTTGGCGCTACTACGGGCTTCCGTATGGCTTCCGGATTCCGGAACTTCTGTTGTTATGAATTGATCGTTAATGTAGTAGTAGAAAGTTTAATGCATACGTTGTTTTTTTAAACCGGGTTCGGGGATTTCCGTTTGACAGAGGTCCGCAGGTGGTAGATAGGATTTCTCCCTCTTTCTCTTTCCCTTTCTCTTCATCTCCCCATCCCTTCCTGTACTCTGCAACTTCAAGTAACTGTGCCACCTGGCGTTGAAATGCCTGTCAGTCCAAATGAAACGAATGCAATCATTCACATCGAACCTTAATTGTGGACCAACCTTCGGCGGGCCGGATTAAAAAGACCAACAGGCCGTATCTGGCCCACAGGTCGTAGTTTGACCACCTCTGGTCTAGACACACTGTTGTGTTTACTCCTTATGTTCGTGTGTGTATGTTTGTGTGTGCGTGCGCGCGCGCTCGCGCCTGTGTGTCCGTGTGTGTGTGTGTGTGTGGGTGTGTGTGTGTGTGTGTGTGTGTGTGTGGCTGGTTGGGAGGGGTGTGTGAGAGAGAGAGAGAGAGAGAGAGAGAGAGAGAGAGAGAGAGAGAGAGAGAGAGAGAGAGAGAGAGAAGGTGATTGGGCTTGTCTGAAAAGAGGAGCAGCTCTCTCTTCGCCTCCTTAATTGTCTTGTCATGAACACATCTGCTGCTCGCTGGTGGGATAGCTGGACAGCAGCTCTGGAGCCTAATGGAAGCTACGCTGTCAGAGCGGAATAAAGGCAATGCTGATGAATGTTAATTCCTGTATAAGGTTTTATAATTAAAGATTTAAGTAAATATGTGTACTGATATCGTCTTTGTCTCAAATATGTAAAAAATAAATCCTGTTTACATATTTTAAACATGCTGGTTCCCACAAACCCTTACACAAAAATTCCTAGGGGCCGGGGGCGGGCAAACCCAAACTTCGCCGTCTTTCGCGGGGTGTTCTGGTCCCCATTAACCGCGATAAGTGAGGGATCACTGTATTTGGTTGCCGGTCTCAGCTTTTTTTCGGCAGTCATCAAATGAGAGACAAACAAAACTAACGTTTATCAGTTTGGACATGAAATTTCTTGTTTTCTAGTGTATTCAACTGTCTATAGGTTGAAAAGGATGTGCAAATCGTATTTTATCTAAACTTTACACAATGTCCCAACTTCATTGTAAACTCAAAGTATGGTATACATTTACTTTTGAATAAATGTGATGTATGACTTCATGTATTGTGATCAAAGAATAGACTGTACTATTGTATAAATGTGAGTAATATGACTGGATGCACGGCGTGGACTGACAGCAGATGAAACAGGTGGTCTTCAGGATCTCCTCCTTCTTCTGCTTCTCACTCCTGAGGTCAGCGAAGGTGTCGATGATGACTCCGAAAATGAGGTTGAGGACAATGATGATGACAATGAAGTAGAACAACAAGTCATAGACCACACGGGCAGGAAACAGCGGCTCCTACACACACATGCAGAAGCATATGAAGGGGCAGTTACATGCAGTCTCCCCTACACTCCATGTGAAGAGTTAAAAAAAAAACAAAAATCTAATAATGATTACATTAAAACATTTTCCATTTGAGTTATCTGGTCTCTGCTTCACATTCATTTTCAATCCACTGATGAGAGGCTGAATTTACGATGTCAGCCTCTCAAAGTAGTCCTCAAATGTCCTCTCAAAGTAGTCCTCAAGGAGTGTCTCAAGTAGTCCTCCCACACCAGCTACCTACATGTCCTCTTTCCCTCCATCCATAAACCTCCTCTTTGGTCTTCCTCTCGGCCTCCTGCCTGGCAGTTCAACACTCAGCATCCTTCTCCCAATATTTTCACTCTCTCTCCTCTGGACATGTCCAAACCATCTCAGTCTGGCTTCTCTGACTTTCTCTCCAAAACCTCTAATATGAGTTGTCCCTCTGATCTTCTCATTCCTGATTCTATCCAACCTGGTCACTCCCAAAGAGAACCTCAACATCTTCATCTATGCTCTGTCTTTTCCTCATATATATACATATATATATATATATATATGTACCCCAAAACTCATATTAATTGACAAAACAAATGACATTTTTAGTATAATCAGCGCTTGTTTTAGTTACTTTTATAAACAGCTGTAGTTTGAGTTAGCTGGAGCTTTTTTTTAAAAGCATTTTTTTAAAATTCCATTTTGCCAATGAAAATGTTTTTTCAATTTACGTTTTAGTTATTTTGCTCATTTTCATTGAATACATTATACTAACCCTGATGCACCCTCCCGAGCTGCACTCACATTCACTGCTGAAATGCTCTCATACACATTACTAAATAATCTGACACACACACTTCTGAATGTGATAATAAATCTTTTAAAACTTCAAATTTTTCAACTATAATGCCCGCTTCATTAATGACTTTTCTTGATCACTCCACCAGTGTTTGCCCAACATCAGTCATAAAAATTACAACATTCCAACACACTTTCAGTAGTGTACTGTGGTCCCCCAACCACTTGGACCTATCTTGGTCGCACAGATGGAGTGTATTTCTCGATCCAGGGCAGAAAAAAACTTTTGTGACTACTGGTTTAAATTATGGCATTTTAGCAGTATGTGTGAGTGTTTCTATAGTGTGTGTGCATTGATGGTTTCTCGCATGTGAACTGAACAGCATATTCTTCTGTGTGCTTAAGTCGGTGAGCTGCAGCGCACTTTTTGGTGGGGGAGGGGGGCGCACCCATACACAAACTGTCCAACGGCTGTATATATGTCACTTCAACATTGTAACGACAGCTGAATGTCAACATTATATCATTGATTGGTGGGGAAAAAAAATGATCCGTGCCTGCGGATCATTTTTTTCCACCTGTGTAGAACAATTCTATATGATGATGGGTGTTGAAGTTGAAGCGAAGATCACACACAATAAAGTCAAAATAATCTGCCGTGAGTTCAGATTTTTTTGAATTGGATTGTGTGCGCCAGGCACATTACATTGCTTGCAATATGGTCAACTTTGAACACAGTCAAAGTCACAGCTCAGGAAAACTATGATCTGAAAATTAGGGCCACCCTCAGACTTTGCCGAATCATGCGTCTTTTGTGGTTGCACACGATTTTCCAAGTTATGTATGGTTCGGTTGTTTAGACGGAAGAATCGTCACACCTTAAATTGCGCAGGAAAGGTGCGTAAGAATTTGACTAAACCTGGACAGGAGAAATTTCCCCTACGTGCCGCGACACGGTGTGGCATTGCTGGCGAGAGTGGCAACACACAAAATACAACAAAAATTGTAAAATATGTAAAGTGGAAACATGAGCAGGATGAAGTGCTTACATTCTTGGAGGGCTGACGGAGGACGTCGCCCACTCCGCCACCGTTTCTCAGGCCATGATTCAACACCGTCACAATACACATCAAAAGTGTGTCGCAGGCGCGCTCACTGCTGAACTCATCTGCAGAACAAAAGCAAAATGAAAACTGGTTCATGTTTGATATGCACAAATTGTGGTATGCGTTTTGGAAAAAAAAATCAATCCCACTCCAGGTAAATTTATATGATGATGACTATATATATATATATATATATATATATATATATATATATATATATATATATATATATATATTTTTTTTTTAATCTATTTAGTTCCTCACACTTCTT